CGACGACGACGATTTAACAGCAATTAGACGTATTTTCAAATCGTCTCTCGAGGTGTTCATCCTCGCGAGTCGCCATCGTCATATTATGCTGCACATACGTCATGCATATTAACCATAATATTACAAGTACGCCGTGTGGGTACTCTCGATTTCCAATAATTATCGCGATTAGCGTAGAAAAATTAGAAGAAAAAAAACACTGTTGACGACGTTGCGTTTTTCTATCTCTTGGCGATAATATTTTTTTCCCCGCCGTGACCGACAATATTATTATAATATTATGATACGTCTTATAATCGTTTAGCGGTCGGAGGTGTTCCGTCTCGTGTTCCATATTGCACATAATTAATTTGATATTATAATAATCACATAATTATTATACGACGCTATTCGCGTATCTGCAGTAATATAATCGTATTTGATGAAGATCGGTCGTCTGGCGCGCGCCACCATAATAATATTGTACGTTTTGACGACTACTTACGGGTACTTACCTGTAATAAGATGTTAGTATCCACACTAAACGAATTCGTGCGGTTTATCAGGGATATGATATTGTTTCCTTGTACGATAATAATAATAATATATAATTTATCACCGGAGACGAAAAATAAACACCGAAGACCAAAAATCTCGGACCGAAGGTCACGGGCACGTGCGTGTGTTCGACTGCGCTGTTTATAATATTATTATTATTACATGTACAATACGATATCGGTTGTTCGTGTGTATATTGTATATATATACGCGTACTTTTATATATATGTATATTGCGTGACGATTGTCGAAACGCAAACAAACGATTTTCCAAAATATTGACAAAATTTTAATAATACAGAACTATATTATACGCTGTCTGCAGCTCTTGGATCGACATTGAAAACGCAAAAATATTACTTTCCTGGCTCGCGCAACCGAGGACGTTCCAAGACTGTGAGAAAACTAACGTTAAACGAAATTCGATTAAAAACTGTTGAAACTGCGCTTTGCTCAATCTTCTTATCGTTGTTTTAATTTTTCTTTAGAAAAAGCACATTTTATAGAATGTGTCGAAATTGAATTCATTATATTTGTGAAAAGGCCATAAAATAATATCGGATATTATGTGATATCAAATCATAGTCCTCTATACCTGCTATAATAATTTGATTTGTAACTGGCATTTGATCTCTGTGTTGCAGAGCAGCCGAAAAAAATCTTCGGCGGGAGGAAAAACGAAAATAAAAATATCCATCACAATCTTTATAATCTATATGCAATTAATAATATATATATAGATCACTGAATATATAAACTTATTAGAAACTCATCTGGGACTTACGGTTTTAATTACCCGATATGACGTGTTAACCGATGACATACTTAACGATTTCTATTATTCTATACACTATTTAATAATAAACCAATCTAATCAATATTTGAAAACAGAACCGGACGTCACGGGAAAGGTCCGACTGCGCTCTAGTCCGTAAACATAATAATAATAATAATAATAATAATAATAATGATAGTAATAGTAATAATAATGTGTACCTTAATATAGTTTTTAGGAGACGGTCCGCGGCGGGCGAGAAAAACACGCACAGGTTATTTTTTCTTGACGAGGGGCTAGGGAGGGGGTGGGCAAGACGTAATCGCCACCGGACGATCTTGAGAAAAACGACTGGTCTTCTTCGCCCCACCGCGCTCGCATTTATACTATGTATTGCTGCTCTCGCGAGAGGGCGGGCGGCGGTGGGCTTATAATTGTTATTACCGTGTCCTCCATGACTGCTCGTAAGTACGCGAGTGTGTGTGTGTGTGTGTGTGTGTGTGTGTGTGGGTGTGTGTGTACAAAAGACCTTTATTATACGTCGCCCGCCCGCCCGTGTGTGTGTGTGTGTGCGTGCATTTTGTTTCCCATCAATGACCAGCATCCGTCGCCATCTTTGATCACACACACACACACACAGGGGACTATATAATATAATGTAGGAGTAGTATACCTTGGGAAAAATCCCGGCCGCGCGCATACGCAATTATCGTGCCCAGACCAGCTCGCGAGTACAAACACAATAATATATATTATATTATTATTTTATACGTACGAACGACGTCGTCTACATGCGTGCTCGCCTTGTACGGTTCACCGGTCCTGTAACCGCACACACACACACACACACACACACACACACACACACACACACACACACGAGGTTCTGTGAGATTATTATTATACTCGCATGTATTTTGTAGTTTTCCTTCCTCCTACTTGCGTATGTGTGTTACGATATATTATTGTACAAACGCGACTTAGCGCGGAACGCGATAATAATAATTACTCGTTCATCTTTGAAAATATTATAATTTGACGCGAAAACATGCCCGGAAGACCTAGAGGAACGTCGAAGAATAATACACAATTATAATATACGCATATTATGTGTGTGTGTGTGTGTGTGTGTGTGTGTGTGTGTATGTGTGTGTGTGTAACGTGCATGTGCGGCTGCGTCCCACGAATAACATCAAACACTATAACTACGCCAATTTTCCTATCCAATATTTGGAAGTTTTTTTTCTTGGAGTATTTGTGAAAATTCACCGTTTCAGAAAAGCTCTCTGCTTCCGTTTTAATTGTATAAAAAATTAGTTTTTATTTGTTATTTATTATTAAAAAAACATATTACATTATTAAAAACTAATTGACAGAAAAGGCTTAAAAATACAATTTTATTGTAAAAATGAAGGTAGGTAGGTATATTGTATTATTTAAAACAAAAAAACTAACTATGAAAATTAGCGTACCTACAGTTAAGTGGATCGTCATGTACGCGTACAATATAATATGTAAAATGAAAAGGTTTTTTTTTAACTCCGCGATTATGATAACAATACGTCAATAATATTACGCGTTGGCTTATTAGCGCCGCCGATCGGCTTTCGGCCGCCATTCAATAATAACAATAACAAATGTGAAGCTGTCGTTAAATTATTGTTGTGTTCCATAAACACACTCCGTATCTATGGGGGTGACTGCATCCCCCTCGACGACGACGCCGCCGAAAAGGGTGCCGTGGACACGTAACAACAATAATGTTTGTGTGTACACACACCCTCACCCGTTTTTTTCCCGTGGCTTACCTGTGCGGGTCATAAAAAAAAATAATAAAAAACCGACCACGATTCGATTTGCCTCCGCTGCAGCAGGCCGAATAATATATTATAGTACTTTCATATAGTTGGATAGAGAGCCACGGTTCGTGATTATTATTATTAATATACACCCCGAACGACCGTCATCGGCCAAACAGATTTTTCAAACACCACACAACACACTATCCTGCCTATATTGTTTTTTTGTTATAAAATAATAATAGCGTGACAAAAGTCTGATTTACGATTAGGTATTAATCCTTTAAACTCAAATAATTAATTTTTCGTCGACATGAATAATATAACACCCAACAACGGAACTAAATGAGTTTCGAACATCGAGCAGTAAACCGTGTTTGGAACTGGCAAAAATGTTATGCGCGCAACTGTTTATATTTTCCCACAAAAAAATATTTTCTAATCGACTTAAAAGGAATAGGTTGTTAGGTACGCGAAAAATATTAAAAAATTGAATTGACGTAACCGAAGCCGGTTTTTCGTGGGCGGTAATCAACCATATGATGAGCGCATATGGTTCTAACCCCGCTGCCGGCCGATTAGATTAATTGAAATGTATATGCGTGTCTTTTTTATTAAAGAGCGTTTAATATAATAATATATAATGACGGTAACGACGACAACACAATCGGACAGCAGGCAGCAGCGTCCGTCCCTCGGGGAGATATGAAATTCCAAACCGGACTCGTGGCGGCGTGGCGGCCGTCGCATCCCCCGACGACGCGCGGTGTTATTATATTATTATTATTATTATTATTATTATTATGATTATATTGTTATATTGGCGGGGCGCTCGTGCGCTGGTTTAGGCGCCGCCAGTGCATTATTGTTATTAAAAGATTATTGTTGTTCGATTTGTGCTGGGGGAGGAGGATGCAGCCCTCGCGACGGCGGACCCCTGCCGGTGTGTCAAAGGCCAACGACGTCAACACACACCCGCTCGACGTGTTGGCAGCTATATATTATATTTGCTTCGATTCCTTCCCCCCCCCATATAGGCTTTAATATACATCGCACGGTACCGGGTCCATAATCATAATATCGTCATTGTGTCGATCGTTATGATATTATATAATATGATCGATAACAACTGCACTGTGTACACTATTATTATCATGCGTAATAACCGCACTGACCGGCGGATTAATTCACTCAACGCGTGTGTGTGTCTCTTGCCGAGGAGGTGCGTGAGCGACGGACTTACCTCTGGCGGCGTTGTCACGACTATCGATCGGCGAGCATACCTATCCCGCTGTACCTATATAGTAATAGAATGGAATATTTTAGCTTCCGTTTTTTGTTTTGCCCACATGCAAACACCTGCTGGCAGTTATTTCGTATGCCTCTTCTTTTGTGTGTGTGTGTGCGTAATTTTGTATACAATATTATAATACGCACCTTGCCGTCGCGCACACACGCCACGCATATCATGCATTTTTTTTTAATATACGACGAATGAACTCTAACGGGTCGACCTTTCTTCTCTCGAGCGCGCACACACACCAGCGAGTAGGTACGCCGTGTTGTTTGTGTGTACATCACCAGGGCGGTTGAACTTTTGTTACTAGGTATATATAAACGCTCGTTGCCATGCTGACCGAATGTATCGCCCGAACGACCCGCGTCGACGTTCTCTTCCTCCTCTTCTTATCCACGTATTTATTGTATACATAGGTATATCTTGTTCTCTCGTCAAATCGATATATACACCCGCTGGCCACCTCCCCCCCCCCCAATCCACCTTGACTTCTCGTCTAGGTTTTTTTTATAAAAAAAAAAATGTCCACTATCATCATTCAACAACTCGTCCGTTGTCACATATAATACCGTATTATTCGTATCTGTTTCAGGTCTGAAATGTCATCGGAAATGTTGCGCGTAGACAATCTGCGACAGAGGTTATTCTGCAATTCCGTGTTGGACACGAAAAGAGAAAGCCGGTGTCCCGTGTGTAACGCCATGTTTTCGACCACGTACAGTATGCGTCTGCACTTGCAGACCGTCCACATGGACTTAAAACCACAAAACCTGACCTCCAAAACGTTTTATCGCGAGTTCAATAACAACAATAGCATAAACAATAATAACAATAACAGCAGTAATAACAACAACAACAATAACAACAGCGTGGCTTTTGCTGCAAAGTCTCCGGCAAAATCAGCGTCCTTCAACAACAGCCCGGAACTAGCGCACGTCACACCCGTAAAGTCTTCGTACAACGGTGACTCGACGTGCAGCACGGACTTTAGCGATGGATATCCGTCGGATAAGGACTCGTATTTTGGCGGCTCGCCCAAGGACGAAATCCCTCTGTCCGTGGCCGGTGGCGGTTTTATGTCGCACTCGCCGGCTAACAAGCGGAGCAGCAACGGTCACATGAAGGCCAAGCGCACGTACGCGTGCAGGCTGTGCTCGACCGTGTTCGGCAACCTGCGGGCGCTCAAAGGTCACAATTCGTCCAGCCACAATAAGTCCACCAACGGCATGTACGCGTGCAATATATGTGAATTCGCTAGCACCGAAAAGGCGTCGCTGAACCATCATATGAAGGGCCACACAGGCGAGACGCCGTACGTGTGCTAAAAGTGTTCGTACGCGTTCACCACAAAGGCCAACTGCGAACGGCACCTGCGCACCATACACAAGGCATCTAACGCCGAAGTGAAGGCGTCGATACTATTCAAGAACGAGGAGAAACCGGCTGGGTCCGCGCAGTCGACCAACGATGAGGCAACCGCCGACAAGAACGAAGAACTGTACCACCACCTGCGCTTGCAACACCACAACCAAACGACGACGGACTATTCCCAGTACGAATCGTCCGGCCAAAAGAGCTCGGAAGACGACGAAGACGAGTACGATGAGCCGCTGGACCTGAGCATGAAGCGTTTCAAACAAGACTTGGACTGCGAGCCTCAAGATTTGTCCATCAACAGCAAGAGGTCGTCGCCAAACGCCGCCGCCACTGCCGGTGATCACACGGACGAGGAGGACGTCAAACAAAACTCGACGATGGCGTTCCGAGATCAATTCGTACCACACGCCCCGCCCGGCTTCATGGACCTGTCGTTACCCACGCCTCTGCACGCGTATTTCCTCAATGAGCACCGCATGTTCTTCAATGGAATGTACCCGGCCGCGGAACGCATGCTACCCATACCACTTACCGTCGACATGATCCGCGCAATGCGGCAGATGAACGAACCGGTGGTCGTCCCTGCTCAAGAAGCGGCAGACCCCGTCGTCCCACCCAAGTCAGAGACACCTGAGCCCGCTACCGTGCCGCCTCCACCACCGGCACCACCGTCTGTGGACGTTGCACAAAAACCAAAGGACAGCAACGGGTTGAGGTTGGTTATGAAAAACGGTATTCTGGTGCCCAAACAGAGACGGTTCAGGACGGACAGGCCACATGTCTGCGAGACGTGCAAACGTGCGTTCACGTTGAAATCAAATCGAGACCGGCACGTCAAAAACCAACACCCGACCGATTGGCACAAGAAACCAAGGTCGTTGTCGTCCAAGTCAGAACCGCAATTCTCGACCGTCAAGCAAGAACAGCAGGACACGTCGCCGATATCGGATCAAGTGAAAATGGCCTTGTCGCTGAAATGCCGGCCGTCAGAACAGCTGCTGCGGACCGAAGACGAAGTGGACGAGGATGAAGAAGATGAAGACGTAGTGGAAGAGGAGGACAAACTCGTCATAGTAGAAGACGGCGTAGAGCACAACAAACCCACCGGAATCAAGGAAAAGTGCTCAGAGGTCAAAGAGGAATCCGCTGATCTGGTCAGCGTGTCCAGATTGTTGGACAACGCTTCACACCAGACATTTCCGCAATTCACCAGATCCGACGAGGACCACAATGAGGTGACCAGCAGTGAAGAAGAGCACAGCGAGGCTGCAAGCTATTCCGAAAACGACGGTTCTAGGTAAGTGAAAAGTCGAACGTGTAGAAAAAAACTCGAATAAGATCACTGATGAGTACATATTATATTATGCATGCAGTGATGCGTTTAAATAATTTTTACAATTTGTTTTCTGTTTCCTTATCGATAGTGTCAATGCCGTCAACAACAACATCGACATAAATTTTAACACGGATAAGGACGAAAACCGGGAGAAGCGGAAGAAGGTCAGTGCGTACGCAGCCGCGCCCAACAGAGTGCTGTGCCCGTTCTGTTACCTTTCGTTCCCGTGGACTTCATCGCTGAAACGGCACATCCGCACTCACACGGGCGAAAAACCGTACCAGTGCAAACACTGTCCGCTGTCATTCTCGACCAAGTCAAACCGCGACCGGCACATCCTGCGCCTGCACTGCACGCCGCCCAGCAAGTCGGCCGCGTCGTCCGACAACGAGACGACCGCCGCTGTGCCGTCCGACGCTAAGAACGCGTACAAGTGCACGTCATGTCCGAACGTGACGTTCTCCAAGCGGAAGAACCTGATCAGCCACATAAATCGGGTGCACTTCGACAAGAACGGCCCCGGCGCTGGAGAGGACGACGAACGAGGCGGTGACGGTACCGAGGACGACGGTGGCGAGTCGGAACGTGACTACTCGATGGCCATGTTCAATGGATGGTGCGGTAACAACTCGGCCCCGGCGACCAGTACGCCAAACACCACCACCCCGTCAGCCACTTCCGCCGCCGCCGCCGCCGCCGCTGCCACCACCCCGTCCAACACGGTCACCGGATCCGAACCGTGTTTCAAGTGTCACCTGTGCGACAGCAGCTACCTGGACAGGCAGGGCGCCCTGGACCACATCCGGATCGACCACGCCGAGTGTTACGAGATACTAGTGTCGCAGGGGGCCATGGACAACGACCATGACTCGTCAGCCGTCAAACAAGACGACGTGGAAAACAGAAAGGTTGGTTGCACTTCGTACTATCGTTTTATGTTATTTTATATGGGTATTCTGCTTTCAATTAAATAATTGCAAATCAAAACCAACATGCATGTTCGTTTTTATGCGGACTTGTCATTCGAGTTCAATCGTTTTCATCGTTATTGTTAACCATTTGTTTTTTACTTCGTAATAATCCAATTATTTTACTTATTTAATTTTTTTTACGATTCTAAAAAATTGAAATTATTAGAATAAATTAAACAGTACTAAAAAAAAATTAAATTGATATCTTTAAAGAAGGAATCTAGGAAGGTATCTTTAATCCGTCCTTCACGCCATAATTATCAAATTCATCAATTTCACTTATTGTTCAAAATTTATGTAACAGATTGTGGAAATATAAATGAAGTAATAAAAAAGAAAATTGATATCTGTTTATTTAGAAACGGAATTTCGTGAAACAATGTATGTATTTATATCAAAATATAATATTTCATTAAACTATCCATAAATAATAATAATTATATACAATGATACTTATATTATGTAATATAGTTATAATATGTTAACTCACTCCCCTTTAAGCATAATACTTAAATTATTATTATTATCGTAAATAGAAAAAAATAATGTTTACATTAAATCTGAGACCTAATTAGTAATTATATACAAGTTGATCGCTTAATAGTGCTGAAATCGATTTTTGTGTTTTTGAATAAAAATGACACTAATATATTTTTACGACTAAGCTTCAAATAATAAAAACTATTTCTTCGTTGTCCGATTTCGTACGTATCCTGGTGTTTCGATATCACATTTTATAGAAAATTATTCAGCTTCAGACTTGGAAATCAATGTTATTTCTTGCCTTCGTGTACAATCATAATATTATATATTATTATGCCATATGTTCATGTATTTGCTGTAACGGGGCCTACAAATCGTTTTTCGTTTCTCAGGTCCTGTGCGCGTTCTGTCTGCACCGTTTCTACTCGGCTGAGGACCTGCGTCGCCACATGCGCACCCATACCAAGGAACAGCCGTTCGCGTGCCTGTCGTGCAAGCGCCGGTTCACGCTCAAGCACAGCATGGTCCGGCATATAGCCAAAAAACACGGTGGCTGCCAAGACCAGCCAACCTATGCGGGTGGTGGTGGCGGCACTGGAGGTGGAAGTGACCACGAGCGGAGGTCCTCCAGTCCTCCGAGCACCCCCCCGCCGACGGGTCCGGTCATCGGTTACGAGGACTGCTGCGGCAACCGTACGGACACGGGCCTGATCGGCACGCTGCTCGGCATTCGTGACAGCACTGTCATCGACCAGGTGTTGCAGACAAAGTCTCCCGAAGACGCTGCCAAAATGTTGGGAATTTAGAGCAGCAGCGACTAGAGATCGAAAGCCGCCGGGTCCGATCCACTTGTATGATAATTTTGTCAATAATTTTACACACATATTATTATTATTATTATAAACCATACCTACTATACATAGAGATAGAGAGAGAGAGAGAGGAGCGTGTTGTCGGCAGACGACGCTTAAAATATTATAGTGTTAAGTATAAATTATTATTATCGTGTTACAATAAATTATATTATAAGAAAATACTCGTTTTGCCGTATACTACTACTCGTGTGTACTCCAATCGTGGTATTGGCTGACCGTTGTTGCCTTATTAAATTTTAGTCGATATTATTGTAGAGATTGGCCACCGAGCGTCTACAATAATATCATTATTATTATTAATTTTATTCTAAGAACTTAAATTGTAATTAAAATTGTTTATTATTGAAACGGTTACGTATCCGTTGTGTATCGTTAGAGTAGTCGTAGTAATATAGGTAAGTCTAGTAATACATAGTTGATAGTTTCGTCGGTGGTGTAATGGATGAGACGGAGTCGGTATCGAAAATGAGAAATTGCGTTGGCGTTTCTGCTTTTCGATACCGACTCGGTCTCCGAAGTCGTTTTTGACGTCTACGTCCCTTCGAGGGAAAACGACCTTGTCGACCGCTCCTGAGGTCCTCGGTGACTATGATATAAAAAATATACTATATCGGTTTTTTTTTTATCATCTTATTTCGCGTACGACGGCGTCCACCGCGTTACCGGTAATTTTACGTTTTTTTTTTTTTTATTACTTGTTTGTTCTTTCTTTCGTTTTGTGTGTTCCTTATTCGGTACGCTCTCCCGTGAACTTCTCGAGTTCGCGTTTTCTCGCTCATCGCCAAGCGAGTCAACGCGCACTCGACAGTCTCGGATTTAAAGGTTTTTTTCCTCTCCGCATAAGCTCTTCGTCTTTTACGGGAACTCCCGAAATAGTCGAAAATATTATTCGGCAGGAAAATCTTTCGACTAGCGTCCATACTCTCTCATCGTGTTCAATTTCGTTGGGTCCGACGTCGATCGCCGGATTGACGCGCAACCAAACGTACACGCGCGCTCATTGGTTCCCAAGCCTGGTCGACAAACGACCGCGTAATGAGAAGGAGCGTTTATGTCCCGGAGAATTAAATCTGAACTATAATAACATAACCTGTACAGACACCCTCCCCCGCCCCCTCATATTAAATACCATTGGTTTGCTTAGTTGTTAGAGTGTTACTCACTACCTATTTTTTTTTTCGACAAAAGGTGGGACCGCTCGCGGTTTCGTTGTTTTTGAAACTTGCAAGTCTGAAGTGACTGCACTAATATATATATATATAAATATTCATATAAATATATTACTAAAATACTTCTGTAAAACGAAATCATAAAATGATATACCATCAATAAATAATATTATTACTACACATAAACGGGGTTGTTATCCTATAGTTAACATTAATGTATATTATGATTTATTGAATTATAGACTTTTAGAAATGTTTAATTATGTATTAGTAATATTAGATTTTATCGATATATATATGCATTTATATGTGTGTGAGTGTGTGAGTGTATGACATGTACTATATTATTATATATTATAAAGCACTGTTTTTTCATTATTATATTTATTATTATTATTATTATTCGTCAATTTTGGGCTGCACTATTATTATTAATTGTGCGTTAAAAGAAAAAAAACAATGAAAAAAAATATTAATAATTTTAAATAAAGAAATCTAGTCGAGCGAGAGGTGTATTTTAATGAAATAATCTAATATTTTAATAATAGTGTAAAAAATGTATGTACTGAGCCCTCAACGTTTTTGGCCATAATAATACCTAATATCGTATCGATAACAGACGTGGTTAGATATAGTTTTTTAGTCGTGTAAGGCACATCCCTTTTCTTCCTCTCTGTACATTCCTTTTTGTTCCAAAACCATCATGATATTATTATAAAGGTTTATAATTTTTTAACCAACAATTATTATTTACTTATAGATACATTTTTTTCCAGACTGTAAACATTTTTTTTCATCTCATTTTTTTTTATGTATATACATAATATATTTATAATATAACGTGTGTAAGTTGGCATATTTTATCATTTTTTTTTTTTCGTGGTTATTATTTTATGCAAGTGATACTAGTCGTTATACATATTGGTTAAAGTTTGTCCCATTATTATTATTATTATTATTATTATATACCATTATTAAACAGTCGCCAACATTATTTTATTTATATAGACTAAACGCGAATGTATACCTTAATTATAATTTCTTATGTATAGTAATATAGACAGTGCTAAAGCAATATTAATCATTACCTATATTTAAATACATTTATTATAATATTTATCTCGTAGTTCTATTGTGTGTTTGAACTCCGATTATTATAATAATAATAAGCAAAAAAGCAATAATTTAAAAAGAAATCGTATATGATATTGTATTTATTATTAATTTATAAAAGTTTGTTTTTGAAAAGTAAAATAAACTTCAGTGTGAGTGAATTTCGTTGTGTTGTTCTTAATCATTAATCCCCAAAAGAATATTATTACATATTAAAAGAGAGTGCCCGATGAATCTCTTTCTCATCCTTTTCTCAAACGTAAATCCACATAATTATTGTTCTTATAATATATAATTATTGTCATTATAGACGCATTATTATTCTCATTGTGAAATGTCACGTCGTGTTGTTTACGCATTCGGATGGTCCGACGAGGTATAAGTGTGGTTACTGGTAAGTGGTGTTGACGTGTTGTAGAAAATATTATACAGACAGCGTCACGGTGTAGGCAAAAAAAAATTCCAAGAACAACTACTGCATCATCTAAACCAGATAAACGAATGTATATGCACATTTCGCCGGAGTTTCATATTATATTCTGATGATTTCATCAAACGAAAAAAAAAGTTGAGTGAAAAAATGAATTAATTTACATCATTACTATTATAAATAACCGATTCGAATACATCAATAGCGAGTCATACGATATCAGCTATAAACACCAGCATGTGCGGCGGTAGCAAAATGTTCTGAAAATGTGATGTTCGCGGTTGTGAGCTATACAAAATCATTTTGGAATATTGGCCTGGTGCAAATAAAAGATTTTGTCTGTTTCTCTCGGGACTAGTCCTATCCTAATATTTAAATCATCGTATAATACTATTATGACATTTCCTAATACTCCAAGGTGGATACAAGTCAAAAATATATTTTATTTAAGATGGGTATTTGTGCAATATATTATTCTAATCTATTTCCTCGACCGGATTCAAAAAAAAAATTGCGTGAGCAACTACACTGTGTATGAAAACTTCAATTTTGTTTAAATTTACTTTTATTAATAAACGCCAAACGACAATAATTATATAAAGACAACTAATAAATATTACATGTTATTACAACAAGTAAATATTATAAAAAAAAAAAATACAATGAAATATATACCTATAATGTGATATTATACTACTAACATAGTGTGTAGGTATTTGACGTACTTCTGACTAACATCATTTATTTATTTAATCTTTATTATCTAAAATAATAATAATTATGACCATAGTATTGCCTATTTATATACCAAACAATTGTAGGTAAAATTTAAAATTTAACATTTTATTACCATCCATAAGAGGTAAAGTGGATACATCCATGAAAAAGAGAATTAATTTCTAGTCAAAAGAAGGACACAATAATTATTAGTTAATGTTTGAGAGAAGATCATGTGCGTCTAAGGTTTAATTGAGACCGAAATCATAAAATGCAAGTCAGCATCTTGTGTCGACGAGAAGACGAGACTTACTTAAGCAATAATTGTAGTATTCCCGACTGTTTTTTTACCTGTTTTTTCAAAAATATTTTGAAAAGTACTAGGAATTTTTAACCTTTATTGATTCCCTTCACCCAAAGTTCGAAGAATTTTTATTGACCCAAAAACGATGACATGCAGACAGAAAAAATACGTTGTAAGATGTTCCTTCACTTTTAATCTAAAGTTTAAAAGTATCGAGTTTAAATATTGTTTTCACTGGCATCTCTATACGTAGATATTAACCATTTACTTACATAATACCTAATATATAGTGATGTAAGGTGTAGTCCGGTAACCTACTTAAAATAGTACTATCGTTGCGCTCTTTATTGCTTTGTCCTGTTTTATATTTGTTTGATAAACATACGACCAAACAAAGATGTTTTTTGATGACTAATCGTATAAATTTGTGGCTTTTTTTCCCCTTGATTCGTGTTGAAGTAAAATAGACAAGGCACCTACTATCCATTAGCCAGAGGAGTAATTAACATGAACAATTTTGCTGATGATAATTACTATTAAACCACGATATCTCTATGATAATGCTATGCGCGAATGTCGTTTTTAAACAAATATTTCTTAAAATATTTACTATAGTGATGTACACTTATAATACTACTATGTATATTATATTGTATTCTAATATAACTCATCTGCTGGAGTCGAACGTGTTTTTGAAAACAAATAAAATGTTGGCATACTATTATACGCTTAATGTAGTTTGAAATATTTGAAACCATACATTAGAAAATGAACGCAACTAATTAAATTACATAGTTTTGGCTATAGTTAAATTTACCACTCTTTTTATTGCGCCGCAAAAGTGTATTTTCTGAGATTCGAAGCTTATATCGATATAATTATAAATTATGTTAAAATTATATTATCGTGTTACCCTGTTCTTACTCCGTGATAATTATAAACTTTACCCAGGTTAGGTTAGGTCTTTATACCCCTGAACGATCGAATCATAAAAATTAATTTCTACTCTAAAACGAGTAGACAAACCCATAGACAATGACCAGCGCACAGTTCTTCCGATTACCACCAGAACACGCTGAAAAATAACACATTTTAAACGTAAGACTACAGATACACGGTTTGACGGTTTATAATGTCAAAAACTCATTCTACGTCCGGACGAGTGAAATATTTGCACAAGAGTGCATTCCGAATTCCGATGACCATCACTGGTAATGTATAATGCCAGTGTAGCAAGTATATTGGCACGTGAAAATCAATAATGATGAAGTAAAATGTATTGTGATTGCCAGTTTTCCGACGAAAAAGATTCGCACGAAACACTAACTAAACCATTATACTTACCATAATATAGAATAATGATATCATAATTTAATATTATAGGAATTTATAAATACAATTTTTTTCAAGAATACTACTGTTCGTGGGTTATAGAGCACATCATTTAAGGAGTTCACTATACGAGGTGAATTAACCCAACAGCAAGAATCCGATTGTACTGTTGTAGTGTTATGAAAAACTGCAGCAGCTTCAAATACTGTCTTCGTTATATAAATCATTTAACATTTTTATATCTTTCAATATGTATATATTTTGTACTTTGAAGTGACTTGTTACTCATGGCCTTATTAAAATTCTCGAACATCATACTATTAGTTATGTTTATTTTAGTTTAGTTCATTATTTGTTTAAAAATCATTATAACTTAATACGGGTATACAGGTTAACATAGTATCCAATCTTCAATTTGTTCACAGCTCATTTAAGTTATATTTGTGATGGAAAGGTGATCATAACATTATATGTTTGACCATTTACACCGTTATAATAATATTTAATCAGTGCATTTGTAGTAATGAATTAAAAATTAGATGGTAATTGAAAACATTTAATAATCAATACTCTTGGGTAGGATATAAGTAGTATTATAGTAATGAGCAATTACTAATGACTAATGAAGTTAACTAAAGGAGTATAAATAATAAATATTTTTTAATTCTAATTGAAATGATATCAGCTTGCTCATCATGTTGTGCTATACATCATAAATCATATTCAATTTAATATATAAATACACTTATTATAATTCAATACAATAAATATAGTACATCTTGTACATTGTACAATACAACAATAGGACGTATTTCAATATTTTAAAAACAATTCATTATATTTATGAGAGTAATGCTTTAGGTGTTTTTATTTGCATTTTCTGTAAAATTGTCAGAAAGATATAACAGTCATCAAGCGATTCATAAATGTCTTAAATGATGTGCTTTATAATATTATGTA